CCCCTCAGCCCTGGCCGCCGCCGCACCCATGACCTCTGGCCCCCCGCCCTCACCAGTGGGCACGAGCGGGTTCTCGCGCGTCTTGCGCATGAACTTTTCGGAGAACCCCTCCACGCGGTGCGCGGCGCTGGGCTCGAAGCCCTCGATCACCGGCGGCCGCCCGGGATCCATGGCTGCGGCCTGCAGGAAGCTAACCGTGACCTAAGCCTCGCCGGCCGCCGTACTCGGAAGCGGGGGTTTCCCCCTCCCCGCACTCCCAGCAGGTCAGGCAGCTTCCGGGCGGCGCAGTGCAGCATGGGCCCTGTAGTCCCGCGCGCGGGCGGGACGACACTTCCCGGCGGGCCCGCGGCTGGGCCCGGAAGCGAGTGGTGCTCGGGTGGGCGCGTGGGCCGGGTGGCCGAGATGCCCAAGGCCAAGGGCAAGAGCCGGCGGCAGAAGTTCGGCTACAGCGTGAACCGCAAGCGGCTGCACCACGCCGCCCGCCAGCGCGCCGCGCCCCGCGTCCAGTGGTGCGGCCCGGGATGGGAGGACTTGGCTCGCACCCCCGGGCCAGGGGGGCTCTGCGGTCCTTTGCAGCCCCCGGTGCTGGGGCGGTCTCTGCTCTCACCTGCTGGGGGGTGGCAGCTCCTGGGGCGACGAGCCTCTCCCCATCCTCCCTCTCAATCCTCTCCACCCTCTGCTCTCTCCCCGCAGCGCCCAGATCCGCCATGCCTGGGACAGGAGCAAGTCTGTGTCGCAGAACCTGGCCGAGATGGGCCTGGCGGCCGACCCCAACAAGGCCGTGCCCATCCAAAAGAGGGGGCCGTGGGTGAGCCTGTCTGAGGACGTGGGGGAGCTCCCTGCCGGGAGGCGATGCTGTTGGTGGGGGACCCGGTGGAAACCTGGCACGGCGAGGCTGGAGAACTTGGTGGCAGGGAACAGCCCTGACTTTGCTGCAGGGCGTGGAGCGGGTGGCAGGATATGCCTCCGAGGCCCGGTCTGTGGGGGCCTTGCGTGGCAAGCGCTCGGGGTGGGAGCACACTGAGGGGTGGCTGGAGCACAAGGGTGATGGCTGGGAGGTGCCAGGTTTGCCTGGGGCCTGGGCTGGGCCACATGAAGTGCTGCTCCAGCAGCCTGGGGAGCTGCTAGGCCAAGGATATGCTGATCAAGTATTGCCCTGGGTTTATGGGGTTGGCACAGGTCTGTCTTGGGTCAGACCCTGAGCGTGGGCTGTGTCTGCCTCGTGCCAGGCTCACCCTGGCCACGGGAGGTTCCCCACCCAAAGCCGTCCTCGGTCTGGGGACAAGCGGCCTCCAAAGCTGTGTGTAAACACACAGGCCCTGCTTGGATGGAGCTATCCTGAGCTGCCTCCGCTCTCGTTCAATGTAGCTGACAGACATGGAGGTTGACGGACAAGAGGGAGGGAAGCTGGTCGTGCGGAAGCCATACGTGCTGAACGGTAGGTGCTGCCTCGCTCTGGGATGCTTCCTGTGATGACTGCTTGCAGCCTGTGGCCAGCTCTGGGCTCGGGCAGACTCCTTTGCATGAAACCTCCCCCATGTCCCCACATCCCTGCCCGCTCTTGTACCTGAGCTCAGGAGCTGGCCAGACTGGGAAAGGAAGGGACACGTGTGGGGTGGGAGGGGCAGAAGGAGCAGAGCTGCCATCCTGGTTCCCCGGGGCTGTGGCTCAGTCTCCAGGTTCCACTGGGCTTGGGCACTGGGCGGCCTGGCTTGGAACAGCGCCCTGCCTCACTGTGTGCGGGTACTATGTAGAGCTGGAGCATGAGGCTAGCCTCCCGGAGAAGAAGTCGCAGACGCTTTCCAGGGACCTCATCGACTATGTGCAGCACATGATACGCAACCACGGCGAGAACTACAAGGTGGGTCTGTGAGGCGTAGTGGGATGGGGGGAAAGGCAGGCACTGAACACCCCACGAATTGCCCAAGTGCCTGTGAGAGCGGCTGCTCCTCCTCAGCCTGGCCAGTCCTTCCTGGTCTGTAGCCCAGTCACCTGCTGACTCGGAGGCACAGAACTCAACCATGCCTGGGGAATGGGTGTGCAGGCAGCCCTGTGGCTGGCCTGGCTCAGTGCTTGCTCACAGGGCATGGGCTTTTCCGGCGGGTTTGCTCTCCCTGG